CATCTTCATGCAGCCTAACTAAATTTGGTCAGGATCCAGATGTTTGGAGTACGACATTTGTAGAAAAACCGGTAAACTCACAAATGAAGGATAAATTTTATATGTTTTGCTCCCTATGGGTATTGAACTAGGGACATGCATTTGGAGACCAGGAAGTACTATCCACTGTGCTATTGACCCACTGGTTTTTAATAATATAATTTATTACTTAATCAAATTAACAATTTTTAATTAAAAGAAATCCATATCAATTTATCCTCTATAGTTATTAATTTGTTTATTTAATATAAATATAACTATTTCAAATATATTTATAACTTAATATTAGGGCTTCTAATAGTATCACTTCAATATCAGTTCGATATTTAAATTTACTATAATTTATATGAGTGGGTCACAATCCATATATTAAATTTACTATAGATCAGTACTATTTTAATATCACTTCAATATCAGTTTGATATTTTTGGAGCCCTACTTAATATTATTATTATTCAATTCCATTTTCTTTAATAATAAAAAATATTTATAGTTATTTGATACTATTTAATAAAGTATTTTTTAAATTTTTTTTTATATTATTATAGGGAAAATATAATAGATAAATGATAAAAAATTATAAGAGTAAGTATATTAGATATAAGTGGTATATCAAGTATAAATAATATATTAAATATAATATATATAATAGATATAAAGTCAAAAAGTATATAAGTAACTTGAAAATAATCAAAAAATAAAAACAATCAGGATAGGTATTGCACAATACTATTAATAAAAATCATCTTTATTAATAAACTTTGCCTTATAATTTAATCTTTATATAATATAGCTAATAGAATTACTATATACAAAGTAATTGAGATACAAGATTGACAAATTAATCTATATTGGTGTTATAACTCTAACCAAATTTATATGTTTCTTTTGAGCAAAAAATAATCCTAACATTATATAATATAAGTTAAATCAAAGTGATTGACTTGTTATAATTTAACTATAATAATAATTACTATTGGTAAGTTAGAATTTAACTTATTATATTAATATATAAGAGATATTATTTTTATATTATTTTTATTTTTTTTTTATATCTAATTAGACCATATATCGCTTATATTTATTTTAATTTAAACTTTAAAAATAAATAATCTTAATATAGATATTATATAAATACATATACTATTAAGCTTTAAGGTTGAATAACCTTAATATAAATATTACATATATATACTAATGGTTAAACTTTTTAATTTTATACAATATACTTGTCAACAGCCAATGGCCTTCCAATGGCCTCTAAATATGATTAAAGAAAATGAAAATGTTGCTCAATTAAAGAAAAATGTTTTTTGTTATTCTAAAATCTTAAAGTCAGCCCTTTATCAGGATTGTCACTCCAACTTAACCTTTGTGGTTTTAAGGTATAAAAATTTTTATTTTTTAAAAAGAAAAAAGGAATATGTAAAAGGGGAAAAAAAAAGTTTATGCTAGTAAAATAAAAATCTATTTAAACCAATTACCAGTCTAATGAGAACCTTTTTTAATCTTGAGAAGAAAAGAAACTGGTAAAAGATAAGAGAAAGACTTCAAACCACTTTTTATTAAAAGAATATCTTGACATCTTGCTCTTTCACTTTATTCATTTGTATTATTAATTATAATATAATATAATATGAAATATGTGAAAGTATATGTCTTGTTTATATTTTTTTTACATGTTGATCAATCAATCCAAGATTTTAGCCAATTACTAACTGGAATTTCTGATATAACAAAAAATTCAAGATCAAATTGAGATAGACAAAATTTTTCAAAAAAAATCAAGAAAATTTGACATGCTTGAAAGTACTATTATAAACATGTATACTGGTAGAAAAAGATTATACTTTTGAACAAATAGACTTCTTTGGTTTATCCATTCACCTGAATCATAGGAGTTAACTTATAATGGATTTAAAGTTTTTATAGGGCTTGAAAAATATATTCACTTGGTAGGTACCAACTAGTTTATTTATCCATCTGTTTTCAGAATGTTTTACTTATAGCGAATTTAAGGTTCTTATGGAACTTGGAAATACATTCACTAATGATTCACTTTCTAAAGTTCTAGATCTAAGGAGAATATAATGAAAGGTATTTTTTAACAGGTTTTTTTTTCAGTAAGGTGTTCTTGCCATAGATCATATGAATAAATTTTATTTATTTGTTATTGAAATATATATAAAGTTTTTTGAAGAAAGAAGGATAAACAAGTGAAAAAGACACCAGCCTTTAAGAAATGAGATGTTAAGGAAAGTGTTTAGACTTTATTATCAAAAATAAAGAAATATTTTTAAGAATGTCTGTTTTTTGGATTGGCAAAGGAATTAGCTTATTATTTATCTATAATTTAATATTTTTTTTAATATATAAATTATTTAAAAATATATATTAAGAATATAAATTTTTTTTTCTAATAATTCAAAATTTTTTAAAAAAATAATTATATTGTTTTTATATTTTTATATATTTTTTAAAAATATTTTTTTCAAATATATCATCTTTTTTTAATTTTTTAAAAAAATTTTTTTATTTTAATTTGATTTTCTATTTTTATTTATATTAAAGTTTTTAAATAATACAATGAAATAACAATGCTTTGTTATTATTATTTATTTTCACTTCTCTTAAAAAGAAATTGATATATAATTTAAGGTATGCACTGATTCTATGTAGAGGTTTCTAGTATGCATTCGAATATTTCTTAATAAATTGACTGTAATGAATTAGTTTTTTAAATCTTTCAATCAATCAGAATAATCAGAAAATCGATATATTGATTGTTCTGTACTACATAAAATTTGTGATTAACAACGAATTATTATTTCACTGAAAAACAGTGAATTTCAAGATATACTGTATTAAATTACTGGAACAATAAACACAAATTTACAAATAATTAGTGACAGAATTAAAACTTGTAGAGAATTATTGAAGATAAGCTTACAGATTTTCCAGAAAGCGGCAGAATTCAAAAACAACTATATGATAAAAGTATTGATCAATTACAATATTTACAAAGCATTGAAGATATTTTACATGAAAATTTTGACATGTTAAAACATATCCTTACACCTTAAATGTCAAAATTTGAAGAATCAGAAAAATGGAAAGATATAATCAGGCAATTAGTTTATTAGGCAGTGAATTAAAATTTACATAAGTTCATATATCGTGTTAAACTATTATAAATAAATTTTTATTTAATTTAAGCCAAATTCGCTGGATGAATAATAACTATTTTTAATAAATAAAATTTAAAATCATGGTTTATTGAAGATTAATATAATATAGGTACGGTCAAGCATATTAATGGATCTGATCAGATGGGTAATCTTAAAGTCTAATCTATCTGACCAGACGGGTAATCATAAAAGTCTGATCCGTCTGACTAGACGGGTGATCTTTAAAAGTCTAATTAGTCTGACCAGACGAGCAATCTACTGTAGTCAATACATAGAATTAGTACTTAGAACTGGTACTTGGAATACATACTCATTATCTAGATCACGAAATATGCTACTTCATTATGTTTCCTTTTTTAATAATAATTTTTTTTTAATTCATTCTTAAAAAAATAAATTTCTACATCATTACTAAGTGAATACAAAATAAATATCATTGAGTAAAAATTCACGAATTTTTTTCACTTTATCTAATTCTTCTTTTGATATTTCTATTGCTTTATACCACTGTGCTCCGTTAGGCATTTTCAACTTGCTGATTTCAATGTTCCACAGCGTAAGATTTTGTCCGAGTATATCATGAAGGTCATTCACCCATTTACTATTTTTTTTTTCTTCAGATAGTAGTTGAGATGTCATTACAACGTCATTGGCTGGATCCTCTCCTCGAATTTTATTGTATACTTCAATGATGCTTTGATATATCATGTTTAGGCGATTTCCATTCATAAAACAGATCTTTTTGTAGGCTTTATAAAATCTAAAATAATTTAAAACTGCATCACCTGGACGTAATGATTTTTGAGCTTTTTTCAATGATGTTGCAGCATGTTTTTCCCAACTTTCTTTTTCTGTGGCATTAACAATGTTTATAACGTGTTGTGATAAAGGTGATGATACACCAATTCTTGTAATTTCATTTTTAATAAAGGGCATATCATCATATTTCCTTCTCTTAGATATGACCATTTTATCAGTTTTTTTTATTATTTGTTCAAGTTCTGAATCCATTTTTTTTGGAGTTAATTTCTGTTCAAACTCCTGAATTCGTTGTTTTAAATGTTGTTCAGACTTCTGAACTTCTTCATTCAGTTTCTCCAGCTCCAGAATTCGCTGTTTTTGTTGGAGAAATTGTTGTTCAAGTTCAAAGATCTTCTTCTTTTTACTTTCTTTCTCCTGCAGATTACACGCGTTAATGTCTTCTATATAGATGGTTCGTTCTAAGCTTTGTTGGGTCTTATGTTGATGTTGTAAGTCTTGAAACCGAGAATGGAGTTCTGTTGGTTTTATAAAGACTCTATTATTATCGATTATTATTTCATGGTTATTGGTGTGATTGAGAACCATAAACACTTCATCACTCAGGCCTCTTTTCAAGTCAAAATGCTTGTATTTGCTTTTGATAAAGTATAATAATATTTTTGCAATTGCTTTCTCAGGTGTTATAGGTGTCTCTAGATATGGTTCAAGTATCACTGATAATGTTGATTGTTTAGTGTCATCATCCCACTGATCATTATATCGTACTTTTTTTTCGATTCCGAACTGGTATCTTGAGACTCCATTTTTTTTCGTTATTATAACAATGTCGTCATCACTAAGCTTATTTGCTATTGACGTCAAAGTTATCTTGGGCAACATATTTAAGCAAAAGGGTGAAAAGTATTAATAAAGAGTGAAACCCTCCCTTATTATTCATAAAATAAACTCAAGGTCATAATTTCGTGCAATTTCTATTTATATATTAACCCACGTGTTCTAATGACATACAATTCTCAGTACGGATCTTGGGTACTAATAAATGTATACAGCCAACAAAAACGTGAAATTTCTTACTATTCATAGGTCCTAAGCACAGGCTTAAAGTACAATATTGTATTTATAGTGTGTCAATTATCATTCGGGCCAACACTAGATTGATATAGTGAATAATTCGGACCAATACTATGTTAATAATTTGGTCGGGCACAGATCGAAGTCTGGTCAGACCATATACAGTAAATCATTTTCCAAAGCTGTTCGATAATGTTGCCCATATACCAAATCTCCTTTCCGTTTTTAACTAATTTTTTTTTGTTTTTCACTTTCTTCACATTATTTAAATTTATAAACTGACGCGAAATTGAATTTGTATATATATATTTATTTCAAAACGGAATATTTACACTGTATATTATAAAATAATATTTGCAAGCCGTCCACCTTATATTACATCTAGATATTCAACTGGCAACTTTTGCAATTGATTATTCGTATATTTCTTATATTGGTCAAATTTTTTTAAAACTCTGTTTTACCTAAAAGATAATACTAATAAGTTAGATAAATCCCACTTATGTTAAGAGAACGACAAAAATTTTGTATATCAAGAAAATGAAATAATTTGAAATCTAACGAGATATAATAGTTGATAAAAATTATAAAAAATTTATTAAATTTCTTCCGTATAAGATGAATCAAATATTTTCAGGACCCTCTGACCCTTAAATAAAACTTTCCTCCATTCTAAAAAATATCCCTGTCCATTATCGAAAGTTCTTCTCTCGGAAAGCCATTTATTAGCAAAATTATCATCAAAATCATTAGAGTATTTAAGATAAACTTTCCATTTGGGAACGGATTTCGCATAAGTTCTGCAACTATTGACAATATCCTCCGCCATATTTGTCATTACTTTAAAATACGTAAACAAATCTGTGTTATTATTCTCCTTGAGAGAAATGTGTTTTAGTTCATCACTAATTAAAGAAAAATCTCTTGAAATCGTAACGAAATAATTGACAAAGCTTGCAATTTTGGAGAAGAGAAGTGTCACCAAAAATTTAAATTCTGATTTTTCTTCATCTTCATTTGCGCTGCTTAGTTCTCTATAAAATTTTTAAGATTTAACATGTCCAAATTGCGATCGTGAACTTCCAAAATCATTTCGATGATTTGATGATTTTTTGAACTTACAAAGAAAAGGAAAAAAAGGAAAAACAAAACAAAAAAACCATCATTGGAAGATCTAACCGAATATTGTGAATTTCACGAAGGGGAATTGTCTATCATCCCAGATGGGAGAGAGAAAAATTATCCTTTTGCTATAGATTTTAATAATATACCCGCACGCATTAACAAAATGTCTTCTGAGCTAGAAAAGATCCTAAATGGAGAAAAGAAGAGTTCATTTATGAAAAATGCACTGGAAGCACACAAAAAACATGGGTGTGGGGCGACAAACCCGATGATTCTGATTAATAGATTTGAAGAGTTCATGGTATGTTTACCTTATGCATATTTTTATTATAAACTTTTGTTTTTATTAAGAATTCGTCTTTTAGCCTGGATATTATGGACATATAGGATGCTGTTATATTATCTGGACTTAGTAGTCTCTTTAAAAAAGTAACTTATAGAAAAACAAAATCATTAAGGTCGATGGATTTTTTTGAAGAAGTGCTTGTTCCTGAGATTGCAATAAGATTAATATTCGAGGATTGCAAAATTCTGCTTGATGAAGCAAAGATAGTAATGAGCGATAGTGTTAAATTTGGAATATATATGTACAAGAATGTAGAAATTTAGTGAGGTTTATAAACAAGTCCAGAACATCGCAGTTACTTTAATAAATTTATAAACTTGCAAAAAAAATCGAATTTTATTACTTTGAATTTTAAAGTTACAAAACTTTTTCTGAATTAAAAATCCCAATTTTCGAAGTTAATTTACGATCTTACTTCTTCCCTCTCTTAATCTAGACAATAAGTGAATAAAAACCAGGTACCGCAAAATAATCTTTTTATGCATTATTTGGCGCGACTATTCCCAAGATTTCGCAGATATATTCCTTAAAATTCTTGTACTCTTCGCTTGTAACACTGTGATTCTTCTTTTTTTCTATATTGAAAATAATGTAAGAACAATAATTTCATGCGAATATTCTAAAGGAGAAAACATACCTGAAGTGCTCTTTAATTTGTATTGATCGAGGTCTATCGGAAGTATATATATAAAATCACCAAGTATTTCATGCATGTCTTTAATCGTATCACATTGACCTTTTCTCCATTTAATCCTTTGAGGGCACGATTTAAAATGTTTTGTAAAAAAAGAAGAAATCGAATTCGATCGAATTTATCACTACCCTGATCTTTATTTAAAAATAATTCGAGTTCTTTTTGTCCCAAATATTTTTTCTTTTCTTCATCTGATTGTTTTTCGTTGTACTCGTTCTCAAAATCACTAATATCCACACGTCCTTTCCAAACATTATTATTATTTAGTAAATTAAGAATTACTAGTTTCTTGTTTTTTTTCATCATCTTTAAGGAATGAAAGTCTCGGATCTGAGTGATTTTGTAATAATTCTGTAATATGAAGTGGTTGACGGCAAAGTAAACTACTTATGTTCATAGGGGAAGGAGTGATGGTAGTGATCATGTTCTATCGATATGTACTCAACTAATTATTATTACGTAATAAAATTACAAATTTTTATTGGCTCATAAATATATATACAGTATATAGACCTTTTTGTTTGTAAATCGACAATGGATTATTATCTTACCAAATTGAAAGAATTAGAAGAAGGGTTTCAATTCTTTACGGACAAGCGCGAAAAACTTGTGGCGATACTTTTGCTTAATTCATTGAAAAATGGATTGGTTGAAAAGAGTTCGGTTGATATTAGTGATTTTGAGCAAGAACTTTGTAAAAAAGAATGTGATGATGATAAGAAAAATTATTTGATCGAAAGGGAAACAAAAATATTTCAAAGTCAAACTGGTAACAAAATCGGAAAAATTAAATTTCTCCTTTTTTTACAAAACCAATCTGTCCTTGCTAAAAATCACCGAAGAAAGAAACAAGCGGAACGCGTTTCCATGCTGCATGAGCTTATTGGTGATGTTATTTATGTCTATCCACTTCCATTGGCCAAGTTAAGAGTGTCAAAGATGGTAAGCTTTGAATTAATTTTAAAATGCATATTTATATTTGTATTTACCATTTAGTATTTCATAGCAACGGAATTTAATAATCATATAATTATGATCAGGAAAGAACTTATTGAGGTATATTTCGAATTTTTTTTGCTACTGACTCTAAATGACACCTCTCATCTAACATTATCCTTATTTTACAGCAGAAAGTGACTAAATAACGTGAGAATAATATAGGAAATATTAAAAAATTATCAATTAATAGAAACTAGATTTTATGCTATACTGTACTTTTGATCGATTGTTTAATGATGCATGATCTCTGAGATGAGGGTTCAGAATAAATTTTGGTTTTTGATAATGAAAAGATCTTTATTATGTTAGTCGCTAATAACCAATCATGTGATTGAGATTACATCTGGTCAGACTGAGTTTCGTCATACCAAGTCTGGGCAGACTAAAGCCTGGCCAGTTTGTAGATCTAATCTGGTCGGACTGGTGATCACAAAGTCTGGTCAGACCAGCGATCACCAAGTTAGAAATTTCTGGTTATACCGGTGATCAAGTCAGACAGGTCTGGTCAGACTTAATTAGGAGAAAATTTTCATAAATTAAATGTATGGCTAAAACGACTAAAGTTTTTTTTTGATTTCTAGAAAATAGTAATTTGAAAATTTTGGGATCTATTGTTCGTAATTATATTGTTAAGGAAACTTTATTGACGTAAACAATACATTAACATTTAATCAAGGTCAATTGCGTTTAATTTTCAATTATACAATAATGAATTGGCAATTAGCTTCACTATAATAATTTATATAAAGTACGATGACAAAAGTTTCAAAGAATGTTTCTGGTGTTCACAGGATCACATCTAAAACTTTGCTTAGAAAATTTCGTTACACTTTGTATGAGGGGTTTGACACACTTGTAAAGCACGTGAGAGATATATTTAAGCGTAAGAACAATCCTTTCAGATATATTATATTTCAGTTTGAGATAAACCATAGTCCGTCAGATCCTGAGCATGGGCGAAAGCACACACAGAGATATGCGAAGATAATCCTAATCGCGTGGGATGGTACGACGGTCAAGGGGAAAGTGAGATTAAGGGAATCATGCAAGCCAATCTGCATATCGATTTTGCGGACCAACCTCACGAGGAATGTATCGAGTACTGCAAGAAAAAATATAATTGGTGCAAGTTACCTGAGCATAATTTAGACCTGAAACATGGCAAATGCTGCAAGTGCTCATATCAAGATCTTTCGTTATGCTGTCGATTTTGTAATGATGATTGTGTTCGAATTTTAGCTCGTGTGAATGAGAACGTGGAAGAATCAGGACCTTTTGAATTCAATGGATGGAATTCTATATACACGTGTTGAAGATATCGATCGCCAGAGTGGAAGAATGACCAAGGAATATAAGGGTGGTATTTTCTTGTATTATAGAGGAGAAATACACTTGTAATAATAGGAATGGTGTGTTGATTCACATAAATGATTTTGAGAAAAAATATCCTGGTGGAATTAACAGTATCTTCGCATCTTGGGTAAAATTCATAAACATGCAGATAGAAATTATGATCTCTGTGCCTTTTACAAAAGCCATCTGAATTTTATAATGATAAGGGTGAATTGTGATATTTTAGTATAAATAGATCAAGTTTTCGACTCTCAAATTGTAATGTGACAATTGACTTTAAAAATGTCTAAGCATTCTGAATTTCACGGTCTCGAGAGAATGAAAGCAATACTGGAATGTGTAAAACTCGAGCAAACTTTTGATCAGAGATATTGTTGTTGTCACCGGTGAGTCTGTCGCTAAAACGGCTCACTCTTCGCGTGACGATAATATGAAACCTTGGAATATACCGCTGAAATAAAGGTAAGGCTTTAACTCTAAGGCGCGTTACAATTTAGCCGCGTTACAATTTAGCCGACTTGTCACACTTGCTAATCTCTTCTTGACCGTTCTTCCAGACGCGTCTCAAGATTACAAGTGTCTCTTCACGGAACAAAAAGGTAACGACTACTTCTTTTAGCTAAAGTTTCTTTATTGCTTGGGCGCGAATACAAGTTTTTAATTACCAATCTTGCTTGTTGTTTTCTCACTAACGATTTCTCCCTCTATTTAAATGCTATCTACGTGTTTTGTTATCTAAATGCTATGGCTAATTATTACATCATTATCTCAAAAAAATTGAAAAAAATTTTACGTGATATTTTTCTCTTTGCGATTGTGATGTCCTTTATTTTTTTGTGCATATAATCATAATATACTGCATATGGTTCAATCGCAACACTTTTTATTATTGAAAATATAAATACTTTGATTTTACAATTACTTGTCATAAATCATGTCAGATTTTTTGGGTCAATTTTACATATCTTATCAGGATGACTTTGAAAGCACATTTAAAAGAATGAAAGACGTTGAGGATAATGAGCATACGCTCGCATTTTTCAACAAATGACGTCCTCATTTTTTTCATGTTAGCACGAGCATTTGCTTTCCAAATGATCCCAAGATTACGCATTGGTATTGGATTGCTGAACTGTTATACAAGAGAACTTTATCTTTTGATCGAGCAGGATATGAAGAGTCACTTCAAAAAAAGAAAGCTTTAGAGTTTGGAAGTAAGAGAGAGTTGAAAAAGACATGCATTAAATTTTCAGATGATCTATGGATTATGATTATGAAACATATTCCTGTCAGACGAAAGATGCCCAGATTCATTCTCGCGGATCGATTTCTTTACAATTTATATATCTTTAATGTGAATCAGGTAAAATTCTTGAATCCTGATAAACACATTTTTTACGCGAAAAGCATAAGACCCATGTGATTGGAAAGAAGAAGAAATGGATCAGATATAAATCTGATGGAAAGATGCCACGCGCAAGCCTAAAAAAAAGGAAGTAATAAATAAAAAAATTTGTTCCATATTGTTATATCAATGGTTATCAATTTTATAAACTTGATAAGAGTCTCGTAAATATCATTGGAAAGAAGAAATGTGAGTCGTGAAAGAAACTGGAATGCTGTAGGACTTATCGTAGTTCTTTCTTTGGTTGTGATGTAAGTTGGTGTCCGGTTGAGGTTGAGGAATATGATGATGTTGATGATGGCGTTCCTGTGAGTGTAGAAACGTATGCAAAACATGAGCATATTTTGTGTGAACAATGTTACTCGAAGTAATTAGTATATTTTATGTAGATTCAATTTCCAAATTTGTCAAATGGTATAAATAAATCATTCAGTTTTCAATATAAATAACAAAATATGACATTTGTATCTGTGTTTCAAAATGAAAATATCTACCATAAACATTTACTGGAGAAATATGGATTCATGTTAAATATTGTTACAACAGGTGACAATGTTGCTTGTGTGTATTTTTTAAATGCACGCGAAGAGATTATCGCGAGACCTACCGGGACACAAGGTTACGTACTGTATTATGTAATACCGTAAGGCGGTACACGGAAATCAAATCTGGTAATATATACTAATTGACAAATTCCAGATTAAGATCAATATTTCTTGAACTAAATCGTTATAAATTACATTCATTTTCAATCTCCCTTTCTTCGTCCTTTCGTCCCTTTATCTCGCTTAATCATAAATTTCAAATGCACACTAAAATATTTAACCTTTTCATCGTTCTCCTAAGCGTTCTTTGCGGTAAAATTCTTTCGAATTCATTGTACAGTACAATGTCTTTCTATATTTGTGGTTTCATTATTTTTACTTATTATTTATTTAGTCCTATCGCATGGAATAAATGCAGCTGATAAATGCTCTCATCAATGTGGTCAATTTTGCGTGTGTATTCATAATTTTTTCCCGTCCTATTAGAATATCAATATTTCATATTAACTTTATGTTTATAGTGTAATAGTGCAAATCTATGTATCAATGATGAATATTGTTGTACTAAAGAAAAAATATGTGGTAATCAATGCGTATGTATTTATTTATTCATTTTATACCGTTTGATTATTTTCTTTATTAACTTCTTTAAATCATATTTGCAGTGTGATAGTAATCATATGTGTGATAAAGGTAGAGATTGTATTTGCGCCAAAGGTCTGACATCTTGTAGCATCGGTACCTGCACTAACACTACTTCTGATCCACAAAACTGCGGAAAATGTGGTACCGCTGTGTGTATTTGTCTTTTTCAGTCTTTTTGACAAAACTATCTTCTTTAACTTACCTAATCATTTTCAGTGTACTAATCGTATGACCTGTCAAAATGGAATATGTGCTTGCCCCCCTGGTTGGATACCTTGTAGTAACGGCATCTGCACTGACATTACTTCTGATCCAAATAACTGCGGAGATTGTGGTATCCCTGTGTGTATTTGTCTTTTTCAATCTTTTTCGACAAAACTATCTTCTTTAACTTACCTAATCATTTTCAGTGTACTAATCGTATGACCTGTCAAAATGGAAAATGTGCTTGCCCCCCTGGTTGGATACTTTGTAACGGCGTCTGCACTGACACTAATGTCGACCCTGATAACTGCGGAGCTTGTCGTCGCAAAGTGAGTATTTGTCTTTTTCAATCTTTTTCGACAAAACTACCTTCTTTAACTTTCCTAATCATTTGCAGTGTGATCCTGCATTAGAATTAACGGGCTGTCAGAAAGGAATTTGTATGTGCCGGTTTGGTCCCTGTAACCCTCCATGCGTATGTCCTTTTCAATTTTTTCGACAAAACTACCTTTCTTTTTTTAACTTTCCTAATAATTTGTAGTTGAATTGCCCCAAAACTTGACTTGACCTAGCCCGACTAGACTTTTATCGGCTTAAAGGGTAAGAGTCGACTTAAGTTGACTTCTAGTCGATCATAATTGTAGTTTATTCTTATTGGTTAAATATTATAAATATATAATAACATATATATTTATACTTCCCTAGTATAAATCACTGGACTTCTGGCGAACCAAAAAAAAAAGAAAAATTTTTTTTTGTGATTACTTAAATAGTAAATTGCATAAATTTTATATTAAAAAAATGTTATCTGAAAACAAATGTAGTTTGGTAATTAATACTTAAAATCCTATTCTTCACTTCCAATTACTATATAAATGCTTAATATTACAAAAGCAACAGCTTATAATATGGTCAATTATTTTAAAAAAATCGGTAAAGTCAAATAATTTTATAAATGCTATTAATTTGAAATATTCACAGAAGATATCTTGTGCACGAGATAGGGGTCTATCTCCGCGAGGAAGCATCCAAATTACATAAATTTTTTTTGTTTGGTAGATCTAGATGTCAAGTTTTTTTCTCTCAACATGATATTATAGTGAAAGATTCTTCCCTGACGAATGGGATCGAATCTTGGAAGGTGATCAACAGGTTGATCATATGGACAAGAAATTCAAAGACATGATAGATATGCTGTATATAACAGAAAATATAATTACTATAGGATATATAATTTCTTATATAATTATTTTTATATTATATAATAACAAATCTGATAATACTATTGATTATAATAAAAAAAAAACAAAATAATAAAATATTTACTTTGTTAAAATAATTTAATCTTTAGTTTTCTTTTTTAAATTGATTTTTTTTTAAAATTAAAAAAATTTTTATATAAAATTATTGTATAAGATTATTTTAAACATTAAGTTTTTAAATAATAAATATTAATATCAATTTTTTAAATATATATTAGATTTAAAATTTTTTTACAAATTTTTTTGTTAATTTCAAAAACTAGTATTTTAAAAAATTTTATATTTTTTAATAATAAAATTTATATACTTTTTTAATAATATTAATATTTAAAAATTTCAGTCTTCTTTTATTTGTTTTTTTATATTTTTGAAATAAACTTTTTGTATTTTATAAATAAATATAAGAAAATTTATTTACAAAGTTAAAGCAAAAATATTATATTAAAAAAAAAACATTTTATAATATATTATTCTTTTTTTTAAGGTTTAAAACTTTAAAAAAAATAAATATTTAATTTTTTTTATTTTTTTTATTTTTTTTTCAATTTATTTTATATTTTTTTAAGTATAAAAAACTTTTTTTTGATTTTTTTTAAAAATTTTATTTTACTTAAATTTTAAATTTCAATTTTAGGTTACATCAAAATTTATAAATAATAATTGGTTAAAATTTGAATTGGTTAATCAATATATAACAAAAAATATAAACAAAATATATAATTTTCATATGTTTTATTTAGGATTCTGATCAGTACTATTTGATATTATATTTTGTAAAACCAATATTAAAAAATTTTTTTGGTATCAATATCAATAATTATTGAAAATTTTCGATACGATACTTTAAAGTATCAATATCGAACTAAAGTATCGAAAGTATTAATAATAATTAAAATACTGTATAAAGTTTCAATTAATATTATTTAATATTAGGGCTCCGAAAAGTACCAAACCAGTATCGAAGTGGTATCAAAATGGTACCAATCTATAGTAAATTTAATATATGGGTTGTGACCCACTTATATGAATTTATAGTAAATTTAAGTATCAAACTGGTATTGAAGTAATATCGAAGTAATACCATTAGGAGTTTTATTTAATATATTACAGTATATGCTATTAACTATAATATCCTAAATACTATTTTAAAAATAATTAAATTTATTAAATAATATTTATTTAATTATAAAAGAAAATATATAAAAAAAGGTATTTTGTAATAAGAATATTTTAAATAGATTTAATATAATATATTAAATTTATTTATTTATTTTTTTAAGATGAAAGGTACTAAACAAGTTGCTTTCCAAATAAGGTTTATCAAATTTCTAATAATCTTCTTTTTATCTTCTATTATTTCTATAGATATATTTTTTAAAAAAAAGAAATTGAAAATTAATATTTATTTAAATTTTTTAATTGAATAAATACTTTCAAAGTATTATATTTCTCATTATTAAATTATTTTTTAATTACTTTATATATTATTTCTTAATGATGAATATATAATTTCAAATAAATTACAAATTAAAATATATCTTTAAATTATAATATCATATTAATATAAAATATTATATTCCAATTTGTCTCAAAAATATTTATATAATTTCAAAATATTTGACTTGTAAAAAAAATGTTATTTTAAAATTATCAAAAGTAGAGTTTTAATTGATACTATTTGATATAATATTTTATAAAATTAATAATTACCAAAAATTTTCAATATAATACTTTAAAGTATTGATATTGTACTAAAGTATCAAAAATATTAATACTAATCAAAATATTATATAAAGTTTCAAGTAATACTATTTTATATATTATATGCTATTGATTATAATACCTTAAATATATATATAACAATAATTAATAAATTGAGTTAAATTAAATTAAAATTGAACATTTTAATAATTAAGTTAATAATAAATTTTTATATAATTGATATAATTATAATACAATTGTGGTATAATTATTTTAATTAAAATTAAGTTAACATAATTATTTTAGTTGACACAATTATTTTAATTAATGTAATTATTTTAATTAATATATTATTTTAGTTAACATAATTATTTTAATAAAAAATAAATTAATTTAATTAATTTAATTTTAAAATTTTTTAATTTTAAAATCATGTGAGATCTATATAACCACATGTGATTTCAAGTATAAGTAATTTAATTATTCAAGATAAAGTTTATCTTGTTACTAATATAATATATATAATAATATATTTGAAATATTAATAATATTTAAATTTATATAATTAATATAATATATAAGTATTATATTTTGTAATTTTTTTCAAAAAAAAAACTCTTTCCTATTTACCCAAATTCACCTAAAATCTACAGTAAACAGTCTGGAGTCTGCCCATAGGCTCCTCCCGCTATGAAAAAACGCAACAAAAATATCACCTGGAGCAAGGATCTGCCCACTTCCATCCATCAGCAATACTAGATACCCAAAACACAACAAAAACTGAAGCAAAAACAGCTGCCAACAACACCTGATGCCAGCCGTAGCAAAGTGCCCAGCTGGACATCCACAACAGAGAAAGGCATAGACAGTACCTTTGACTGGACAGACGATACCCACATGGATACAGAGGAACCCTAATGGGCACCTACCCCATCTACCTTCGCCGAGTTGGATGAAGACCCAACACCTACAGAGCCAGAAAGTGAAGCAGAAGATGTCCCACCCACCAGCAGCCAACCACCCAAACTGGTCAGATAGCCGTTTAATCCGCCAACAGACTGATACATCCAATACAGCCGTTTCTGCTACAAGACAGCTGTGCAAGTGGATGACCTAATAGGTACCATGGAGGGTAAACTCAATGTTATCAAAGAAGCAATCTTTCACTTTGACTCCTATATAGGCATCCGTGTAGTGCAGCAACAAGGGGCCAAAATGATTGTCACTTCATTTGCAAATCAAAAAGATATACAGAAAGTATACAAAGTTAAAATTCAATAGGATAATAATTACCACATGGCTATACTAGCTGATCTAGATCCAACAGAAGTCAAAAATAAGTCGATCCACATCTGAAACATCTTCCTGAGCACCAATAAACAGGAAATCAAACAGAAACTTTTTCAATTTGGACAGATTAAAAATCTCAAAATGTACACTGCAGGCATGTGGCAAAGCATAATTGCTGAATTTGAAGAACAAGAAGAGTATGACAAAGTCAACCTATGATGGAATATTCCCTTTCAAGGAAAACTTCTTAGAATATATCCATTTCTAAGAACCAATGAAATTAAATAATCATGGAATAGGTACATCCTGAAACTTGCAAAACTTCCTCCAAACACAACTGGATATGATCTTCATGAGATTATCGACAAAACCAAAGCAGCATCCTGTCACATCCCATATAACCATAATTATATGAAAAAGAGATTCGCCATTTTCAATTTTGCATCAGCAGAAGCAAAAGAACTAGCCAAAAACAAAGCTGTACAACTTGAAGAAACACTCCTCCAATAGTATAAAATGGAAGAAAAACTCTGTGCAATATGCAGTGCAGCAGACCACCTGGTGGCACAATGCACAATCAAGGCAAAACGCCAGGAAAAACAACAAATGCTTAAAGAGAAAGCAAAAAGATATAGCTCCCTATACCAAAAATTTAAAAGCAGGCACAACAAACATTAGAAGAATCATATCAAATCAACTCAATAAATCCATCAACCCTGATCACCAAAGAGCATGGGAACAATTCAACAAAGCCTCTAACAGATTCACAAACAAGGGAACATTTGCTCAAATAACCAAGCAATCCCTTAGCAAAGGATCGAATCTCACAGTCAACAATCCAACAGCAATGATCAACCTCCAGTCATCACTGACAGAAGTCCTCAAAACAGTTTAAACAATCAGTGCAGGGCTCAAAGAAATCAAAGAAATCATCAACGATCTCAACAACAGAGTCAACAATCTTGAGGAATTCATATACTTCTATACAGTAGATGATAAAAAACAAATGGAAGCAGTGATAGAAACAGGCAAAGAGTACCTGGACCAGAATCCACCCATACAACCACACCAGAACCAAAAGACTTCAACTACCAATGGAAAAGACAAGCAACAAGCCCTGCAGTAGATATACTTAATATCAGAGAACAACAAACCAATCTCAACATACACATGGCCAATATAAATGACACCTTTCAAAATATAGTTGGCACCCTTAATCAACTCATCGATATTATAACAAACACACTCCAACATTCAGATTTATATGATAAACAATAGGATGGATAAAAAAATCACAGATCCTCCCAACACAAC